CACCAAGTCAAGGGTTAAGATCCCCTTACCAGTCATCTTTTAAAAAAAAAAAAGAAAGAAACTGGACAAAAAACCTTGGGGAATACAGTTCTAAATGTAGACTGCTGATTTGAGATTAAGGAGAAAAAAGTATGATAGAAAGGGAAATCAATAAAGACAGTAAACTATAAAAAAGATCTCATCTGGAAATAATAGCATTTCTCGGTGTGAGTGAACATGTTAAGTTTGAGAGGTCTATGACACATCCAAGTGGAAATGTTGATAGGAATAGGGGATATAATGAGTAAGGAGTTAAGGAGAAAGTCCTGGGCTAGCGATATAAATGTGGGAGCTGTCAGCATACAGATGGTGTTTAAGCCATGAGACTGGACAAAATAACTGAGGGAATGGTTATAAATATTTTAAAAAAGAAGCATCAGCCTGAAACTAGGGGTTCATCAAAATTGAGAAGTTGAAAAGATGATAACAACAAACTAGCAAAGGACACTAGAATGTATTATCAGTGAGGTGAGAAGATAACAGTATTTCAAAAACCAAGTGAAGAAAAGTATTTCAAGTAGAAAGGAGTGATCAATTGTGCCAAATGCTGTGGGCAGGTCAAGTAAGATGAAGACTGAAATCTGAGGAATATAAATTCCAGAATACTTTAAAAAATGATTCACATAGGACTTGGTAATCAGTGTTTGAAAGTCAATGATTAAAATTTATATTCAGAGTTCCAGTCAAGATGGCGGAATAGTCACTCTCTCCCATAAATCAACGAATGTACAGCTATAAAAATGTAACACCAGCCAAACTGGGGCCGCTGGAGCTCAGTCGAAGAGGAGGAGAGACCTGTGGAGTTCATGAAGGCAGGAGAAGGCACGATGAGAGAAAGAAAAAACTGCTCGAAGCATTTTGGGTAGTGGCCGCTTTAAGGCTGGAGCTGATGAGTACATGGAGCAGGAGCCAGCAGAAGCCACAGCTGTGCCCTTCAGATGGAGTTGCTTGGAGGCGGCAGGGGAGAAGAGGGCCTTGGTGGCCCCTAGGACAGCAAGAACACTAACAGAGTTCCTGTGAACCCACACAGGAGCAAGAAGCCAGAACAGCTGAAAATGGGGAGCCATTCAGAGGCTGGTGAGTCATCTCAAGGGACTGGCACAGGGCCCATCCCATGGGAAGTGTTTGGGCACGGGCCATAGGGGAGAACACTGGGACACAGCAAGGACAGTGGTCCGCCCCCACAAGCAGCACAGGACCACTCAGAGGAGACTGGTCGGGAATGCAGAATTGCGTGGGGTGCAGTTTGATGAAAAGACTCAGGCCCTGATCAGTGTTTCTATACAACCCAGGTGCACGAGGTCTCTGGAGAGCCAGAAGTACCTATAAAGTCAACCATTAATACCTGAGCTGCACAAAAAGCCTTCCCTAGGGAAGCAGCAGCAAAGCAGCAATTTAGCTTAACAACTCAGCTCAAGTACTGGTTCCCACAGGAAGTTCCCCCGTTTTAGAAGTAAGCAAAGGACAAAAAATTAGTTCTGGCCCAGGCATACCACCAGTGCCTTGGGGCCCTCCAGGGGACATGAGGCATGGAGCTGCAGACCAGACCCCACTCCCACATCCAGGCACACTGCCAGCACCTTGGGGCCCACCCGGAGGCCCAGCACATGGAGCCAGAGACCGAACCTCACCCACCACCACCACCCAGCACACCACCAGCACCTTGGGGCCCCGCCCAGATGCCCAGGGCATGCAGCCAGGGACCAGACACCCCACCCACATCCAGGAACACAGCCAGTGCGTCGGGGCCTGCCTAGGGACCCAGGGAATGGAGCCAGGGACTAGACTTCCCCCCAAAACCGGGCACACCACCAGCGCCAAGGAGCATGCCAAAACATCACTTCCATGTGGGTAGCCCGCCACAGCCACAACAGTAACCACAGCTGCTGCAAAAGTGGCTAGACGTCACAACCACGATGCAGATGGTCCACCAGCCACTGGAGTGCACTGACACAAGGAGAGTCTCAAAGTAGAGACCCAAGAAAAGAATAGGATTCTCTCTCCACAAAGCCCATTCCAGAGTGACAGAAAAAGCATCTGCTCTATGATAATACTGGGGGACCTGAACACACCTTTCAGTATTGGACAGATCATCTAGGCAACAAATCAACAGAGTAACCATTACTCTTTCAGAGGAAGAGAAGAAATCTAGGGTTATCAGTGGTGGGAGCACAGGGAGGAAGAGGGGGATGAGGAGAGATTGGACAAGGGACACAAGAATAAGTACAATTTGTAACAATATACAGACTAATAACATTGATTTGATCAACATATGTCAACATTGAATCCCAAAAATATGTATAATCAATTACGATTCAATAAAACAAAATTTATATTCAATCTAAGTACCAACTATTCAAATCTAATAGGCTGGAAGATTTTTATCCTAAAAGTGTCATTACCTGGTCTTGCAGATACTCATCCACAGTACCACCATGTCTAAGATTTGCTAATAGCATTTCGGCAGCTTCAATTCCAACCTTGTCTGCATTTACACCTAAGACAAGCACAATGTAAAAGAAAAAAACAAAAACTCCTGAATTAGATACTAAGAGGCAAAAGTTTAGTTAATACATCCCAGTTAGCACTGGTATAATATTTTTCAGGCTTCTGAACTCACCCAATGGACCTTTTAGAATAAAATCTTTAGTTATTTAATCTTCTGAGAGCTTGGTATATGCAAAGACTTTAAATCTTTAAATGTACTAGTAAGGAAAAAATAGCTTGCTTTGGCCCTGTTTAAAATGTACTAAGTTGTGACCCTATAATGCTATGCCTCGATTTCAAAATTTAAATAATTAATTTACAATTAGTCTGTAGGCAATTCCATCAGAATTAAAGAATTTTGGGCCGGCCCGGTGGCGCACTTGGTAGATTGCGGCGCTTGGGAGCGCAGCGGCGCTCCTGCCGAGGGTTCAGATCCCATATAGAGACCGGTCTGCTCACTGGTTGAGCGCGGTGCAGGCGCGACACCGAGGGTTGCGATCCCGTTGCCAGTCATGAAAAAAGACAAAAAGACAAAAAAAAAAAAAAGAATTAAAGAATTTTTTAAAAGTTAGGGAATTGATTAAGTTTCATCTAAAGAAGAGCAGATAACATTCTCATGCCAAATATTTTAAAGTGTTATTCCCTTTAAGATTTGAACAGGTATTATTTTACTTTGAATATAAGTCAAAATGGGCCGGCCCGTGGCTCACTCGGGAGAGTGCGGTGCTGATAACACCAAGGCCCGGGTTCGGATCCCATATAGGGATAGCCAGTTAGCTTGCTGGCTGAGCGTGGTGCTGACAACACCAAGTCAAGGGTTAAGATCCCCTTACCGGTCATCTTTAAAAAAAAAAAAAAAAGAATATAAGTCAAAATACTTACCCACTTGCTCTACTTCCTGCCTCTCCACATACTCCAAATCTTTGGTACAACACTGAATACAAAATGAGTCTGTCAGAAGTAGTGGAATGTCAAATTATTCTTTTAAGGTATTTACTTTAAATTAAAAGAAATCCTTGGCTACAAATGAAAATGTCTTTTAAAAAATTAGAATGTGGTTAATTTTGTTTCTTTTCTTTTTTTTTTTTTTTTTTAAAAGATGACCAGTAAGGGGATCTTAACCCTTGGTGTTGTCAGCACCACACTCTCCCAAGTGAGCCACGAGCCAGCCCAATTTTGTTTCTATTTTATATTTGCAAATTTATTTGATTATATACCTTCATTCATAAAATACCCCAGAAAATTGTAAATTTCCAAATTTTAACTCAATTTTTCCTGATGGCAGTTATTGTAATAATATAATAAATTTACTATTTTTACATCATCGAGTGGTCAAGTATTTATATAACTGGATGAAATGGTATGGAACATGTGGTACGAATCTTGACTTTTTGGGTAAGCTACTTAGCTACTGCCATTTCTTCTTCTAGTTGGAAATGGAGATGATACTATGTTGCAAAAATGTTAGAGAAATTAGAGATAGTATTTATAAAGCATCTATCACCAAGACCAGTACATAATAAGCTATTAATAATAATAGTAGTATTGAGCACCCACTATGTATGTACCATGCTGGTTCCTTTGCTAAGGAGACATTAAAAAAAAACTCATATATTACAGTACTAGAGGATAATTAAATGCTAAGCTCTATAGTGTAAACTACACATGCAAAAGGAGTTCAGAGGAAAAAAAAAGATTATAGCTTCTAGAATATATATATATATATTTTTTTTTTTGGCAGCTGGCCTCTACAGAGACCAAACCCTGGGCTTTGGTGTTATCAGAACCACTCTCTAACCAACTTAGCTAATTGATCAGCCCTCTAGAATAATCTGAGGTTTCCTGCAGCATGAAAGACTTAAGCGAATCTGAAAAATGGCTACAATTGGGACAGAGAAGGAAAGAATTCCTGGCTTTGCAGTACTAGAGAGCAGTAGGCACATGAAAGTTTTCTGCCAAGTCACAAAGTATATCTCTGAGCCATTCACAATCCTTCCTACCTACCATCTTGACAGCTGAACAATGGTATAAATGAATTTACATTATTACCAGCCATTACTGCAACCGAGCAGAATGAAGAAAACATGAGAATTTTGCTAGCATTATGTTAAAAAAAAAAAATCAAAATCCTAATAAATTCTTTTTTTATTTTATTTTATTTTGTCATTTTCCGTGTCCGGCAACGGATCGCAACCCTCAGTGTTGCCCCCGTACCGGACCGGGGACCGGCAACGGGATCGCAACCCTCGGCGTTGCTCCCGCGCCTCGCTCAGCCAGTGAGCGGGAACCGGTCTGTATGTGGGATCTGAACCCTCGGGCGGGAGCGCCGCCGCGCTTCCCAAGCGGCACACTATCCAGTGCGCCACTGGGCCGGCCCAAAATCCTAATAAATTCTGAAACCCTAATGCTTTTCTAACTAAATGACAAATCGGGCCAGCCCGTGGCTCACTCGGGAGAGTGCGGTGCTGATAACACCAAGGCCCGGGTTCGGATCCCATATAGGGATGGCCAGTTAGCTCGCTGGCTGAGCATGGCGCTGACAACACCAAGTCAAGGGTTAAGATCCCCTTACCCGTCATCTTTAAAAAATAAATAAATAAATAAATAAAATAAATAAATGACAAATCATCTGATATTTTGGATGTTTCTAAAAAACAGTTTTAGATAGAATTCTTTCATGTGAGGTCAACTGCAGATGTTGATTTTACTTATTCCACTATGTTGATTAGATCGGATGCTCAACTAGCAGATTTACCAACTGAGCAGACTAAGATTACCTGAAATTGTTTGTATTCAGGAGTGATAATGTGGTTTAACGGCATAGCAAGGGTAAGCATTTTTAAAGATGCTACAAAGTAGGAATAAAGCAAACAACTACCACACAATTAGAAGTTCACATGGGGGCCGGCCCGGTGGCGCACTGGATAAGTGCGCCGCTTGGGAAGCGCGGCGGCGCTCCCGCCCGAGGGTTCAGATCCCACATACAGACCGGTTCCCGCTCACTGGCTGAGCGAGGCACGGGAGCAACGCCGAGGGTTGCGGTCCCTTTGCCGGTCCCCGGTCTGGTGCGGGGGCAACACTGAGGGTTGCGATCCATTGCCGGACACGGAAAAAGACAAAAGACAAAAAAATAAATAAATAAATAAATAAAAAAGAAGTTCACGTGAAAGTTACCGGGCTCGCCAAAATAACTTTAAATATTCACATACTGATGCACATATGTATATCCTTTCCCTAATATGCTAAACAAATTAACCTTTTACAAAACTATTCAATATTTTGAAATCACAAATGTAATAACTCATGCTGGGAATAATCTTCAATAGACATTAAAACCATCAGATGAAAGTTGTATGGGAACAGGTTAATCAGATGGTCTCAAAGTATTATCCCAGATTACTTGTTAACTGTAAAGGGAAAAAGAACCATTACAGCAGACAGACCTGGAGGACATCTCCTTAACCTAGTGATCACACTCCACCTCACCAATAAAGGACAAACTGATAATATGTGTCCTCTGATGCAATGCAGTAGAATGCCCAGAAAATCACCCATGCAACTAAAAATGTTTCATCTGAATATACCTAATCATGATACAATTAGACAAATTCAAATTGTGGGAAATCCTCTGAGAGAATGGCCTAGACTTTTCAAAATGTCAATATCATAAAAGGAAAAAAAAAAAAAAGGTGAAGGGAGCATTCTGTATTAAAAGAGAAACTAAACAGACTTAACCAAATGTGTGTGCTTCAAAATAAAAATATCTTACATCGCTCTAAAGAATATTTTGGAGGCAACTCATTGTATATGTATGGTGTGTCTGATAATAATAGAAAATTGTTCTGGTGTAAAAATGATATTATGATTATACAGGATTGTTCTTTGGAAACATGTGCTGTAGTAGTCAGGGGTAAGATATGGTACCTACAACTTACATTGAAATGGTTCAGAAACATACACAACATGTAATTAAATGTTCACAACTGGTGAATCTAGGAGAAGGGTGTATGGATGACTGTTGAATTCGTCATTCAACCTTTCTATATGTTTGGCATTTTTCAGAATATAAAGTTGGGAGATACTGATAACACCAAGGTCAAAGGTTCAGATCCCCTTACTGGCCAGCCACCAAAACAAAAAACAAACAAACAAACAAAGTTGGGAGGAAGACTGAAAGTTTAATTGATTCTAAAATGAATCAGTTAATTGTATCCTTTGAAACGTGTCATCCATAATTCTATAACATTCCAATCCTGACAAATAATTAAAAGAATTTTACAGTAGCATTGGGAACTATGGAACCCCTTCCTTTATCTATACCTCGTTTACCAAGCGATGATCCAGCAAACAAACAGCCAGTGGATGTCTCAGCAATAATGCTATAAAGGGGAAAAAAAAAGTATTACTACTCATGTTATAAACATTCTAAAGTTACATGCAAATACAACACAGGAGAACTGTGATTGTTAAACGGACAATTAAATCTGGCCAGTATATTCCACAGGTCAAATTCTTCATACAGAGAGTGGCATGATTTTCTCCAACAGCCTTAATCAGACCATTAAGTACCCTTTAGCACTTGACCAGAAGTCACACCAGATTCTAATCCACAGGTAAGGAATGTCTCCCCCTACCCCAAGAACTCAGCATGTTATCAGCACAAAGTGGTAACCATTTCACAGGCACACAGTGCTATAAAGGGTTTTATGATTATCTTAAATAAAAAGGTTGTCATGGAGGGACTTTCGGTATTGTTCTACAGCTTTTCGATAAGTACAGAGAGCATTTACTTAAACCCTTTAATAGAAACTCTGAATTAGATGGTTTGAAATTTAAATATCCACAGAGGATACTTTTATACTTCAAAAACACCAATTAAAGAACTTTTATGGATTCCCGTACCAGCCAGCCACCAAAAACAAAAGGATTTTTATAACGCCCTTTAATAGAAACTCTGAATTAGATGGTTTGAAATTTAAATATCCACAGAGGATACTTTTATACTTCAAAAACACCAGTTAAAGAACTTTTATGGATTCCCGTACCAGCCAGCCACCAAAAACAAAAGGATTTTTATAACACTTAAATCTATAACTTCTAACTGGATTAATGTTATAGTCCCATTCCTTTTTTAAAAGGGATCTGTGCCAAATTTATTTGTGAATTAATTTCACATCTGAGGTATTTTATACTACTGGAAATATTTCTCGTAGGATCAGCTTCAAAGCCTAACTTCTGATTAGCTTAAACATTTAAGTTCACTATATAGTTTCAGTCTTTTTTTGGCTTTTGGCCAGTATGGGGATATGAACCTGAGACCTTGGTGTCATAAAGCTGCCCTTTAACCAACTGAGCTAACCGGCCAGCCCTTAAATTCACTATATAAGCAAAAGGGAAGTTACAATAAGAGGCAAACCATCCTCAGAAAAAATTTGGAATAATCATCTTAATTCATCCTACTGTTGTTTTAGATGGGCATGCCCTTCAAAATATGTCTTCTTAAAACTGTAAATTTAGGCAAAAAACCTACAAATCCTTAATTTAAATGGGATAATTATTTCAGGGCTCTCAACCGATGTTTAGGAATAAACATATTGTCTCACATTATTCCATTTCCATTGCCAAATGCTTGGTCTTTAGGTTCCTGAACAGGCTGGATATTAACATACAGATCCCTGATCTCCTTTCTGATGCATCTCACAGCTGCCGCTGCCATTTCTTTTGCTACCTATTTGGCAAGACAGACAAATAGAATAAATTAATTACTGATTATTTGGACAACTGTTTTCAAGCCTTCAAAGATACAACATAGGGTTCAGATCCCTATACCAGCCAGTCACCAAAAACAAAAACATAAAATAATTAATAACATTCACATGCATTACTTAAAAGCTTGATTTTCAAGAGTAAAAAGAGCACTGAATTTTAAGAAAAATTTTAAAGATTTATTAAAAAGTAAGTTCTTTCAATAATTTCAAATTTTAGATAACATAATACTTATTGAGACATACATACACTTCTAAGAACATCTAGGCAACTTCCTTTATTATTTATTTACTTATTTATTTATTTTGAATATTCATGAGATACAAAGCTGATTTGATTGTCCCACCTCCTGACCATGATGTGGGGGCCAGATTCATATTGGGGACATACCTATTACCAGAAATTGCTTTTATACCCTTTGTCCCCTTCCAATTATCCCCATAGTCAACTTACTTTAAATGGCAAAACACCAGCAACGAAAGCTCTTCCATATACTTTAGTCACAGAGCCACGGTCAGTTAAATTTATTGGGTTCAATTGTTTAACTGGTGATATTCGGATAATCACTTCACCACCACCTTTTGGGTAATAGCCCCTATGAAAAGTACAACAAATACCCACATAAAATGACTGAATGACAAAAATAAAGCTCAATATTACAATAAAATAATGTGAATGATATCCAAACATGTAATTAATAGAAAGTTTGTAATAATATTTTAGGTCTATGCTGTCCAATAGGGTAGCCTCAAGCTATATCCAACTATTAAAATAAAATAAAATTTAGAAATCAGCTCCCCAGTTGCACTAGCCACATTTCAAGTGCTCAATCGTCACATTTGGCTAATGACTATCATATTGGACAGCACAGATAGGGAACATTTCTCTCAATGCAGGAAGTTACTTGGCAGTGCAGTTTTAAGAGTATAAGCTCAGAGATGGCTGTACCTATTTTGTTACTGCTGTTTTCTAGTGCCTAAAACAATGCCTGGCACATAGTAGATGCTCACATAAATATATGATGAATATTTAAGTAGCTGAACACTAATAAAATTTTAACTCAATTATTTAGTATCATTTATTCTATAGCAGATGCTGAGAAAAAGAATGCTCCTATCCTCAAGGAGCTCATCATCTGGGGGGGAGGTGGCTCCACACACTACCTACTAGAATACAAGTCAGGCTGTAAGGAAGACTACAGCTGTAAGAAGGACAGAGTTACAAATATGAATTAGATTGAGGCACATTCACAGACAGTTCACACAAGAAATTACAAGTTTCATTTTGAAAAAACATCAGATTTCCAATTTTTAGGAGAGCAAGGGAAGAATAACATGAACAAAGACATGAAAGTCCGAAGGCACTAAGTATGTTTAAGGAATAGCAAGCAATCATGTGGTTAGAATACATGGCATGTTGAAAGGAGGGGAAGGATGACGAAGCTAGAAAGGTAAATTGGGGCAAAACTGCAAAGCATTTATTTTTTATTTTTTTTATTTTTAAAAATGGTGACCGGTAAGGGGATCTTAACCCTTAGCTTGGTGTTGTCAGCACCATGCTCAGCCAGTGAGCTAACCGGCCATCCCTATATAGGATCCAAACCCGCAGCCTTGGTGTTATCAGCACCACACTCTTCCAAGTGAGCCACAGGCCAGCCCAAAACTGCAAAGCATTTAAATGCCATGCCAAGAAATTTGGCCTTGTTTTTGTGTGGCAGAAAGCAAGCCTTAAAGAGAAATAACCAGAATACCCAATCCCAATGTATTTCTAATCACAGTATAGAAGAGAATCCCTTTTATTTATTTATTTTTTTTGTGGCTGGCCAGGGGGATGTGAACCTTTGACATTGGTATTATCAGCACCATGCTCTAACCAACTGAGTAACCGGCCAGCCTATAGAATCTCTTTTATGACCCTGTAGTCCCTAGTCCAGCAGTCTGCACATGGTAAGCATGTAATCTGTTCTGGGGCAGAGCATAGATAACCCAAGATATGAAGGTGCCTCACTGTGGAAATTCCCTTGGAAAATATTTCTCCCAAGAAACAAATGAAAATCATGTGCAGCTGCTTTCAAATCCCCATGTCCCACTGCTTATTGCTTTTAAGCCACAAAGTACAATTATTTCCTACAAGAAAGCTAATGTATTAAGTGGGTTCCAGAATGATAGTTAGTCTAAGGTCTAACTTTTCCACTGTTTTTTTTTTTAGCACAAGTAATGGATCAAAAGGGTGGAGAAATGAGCAACTTACCTCATTTTAATGTCACAATTAAATTCGAAACCAAATTTTTCAACAATTGGCTTGAAAACCTGAAAAATCAGTTTGTTACTTTAACCACCAATATTCACTGATTCAATAAGTATATTTATTAAACAAAAGTGCTCTCACTGAACTTTAGGCATTATAGGTAAACAGTGATAAAAATATGTAGGCTAGTTCCATTTTTCAAATAAAAAAACTGATATGTAGCTAAATTTAAAATTTAACATTTAATTAATCATGACTGTGCAGGTCTATCTAATGAAAGAAAAAAAAAATCAGAACTCAGGATACTTCCTTTTTTTTTCTTTTTTTTTTTTTTTGAGTGGCTGGCCAGTATGGGGATCCGAACACTTGACCTTGGTGTTTACAAGGCTGTGCTCTAACCAACTGAGCTAACTGGCTAGCCCAGAACTCAGGATACTTGATCCCAGTGGTTTTTTTGACATCACAGGCCAGTATTTCCTAATCCTTCTCAGTAAAATACACTATAAGAAATTATGCGGGGTTGGTGAACAGCATTCCATTCTGCCATCTCAATTTTTTTATACAGTTGAAATCTCATTGCATATACATTTTATCCTTATTTTTTCCATTTAACAATATAAACATAAGCATTTTCCTAAAATCACAAAATTCGCCCTAAACAATATTTGAATGACTGCATGGCATTCTAGTATAATTTACTTAACCATTTTCAAGTTGTCATTATTACATAATGATATACTATTATATAATAATAATTATAGTATATAATGCTCTGCTCAAATACCTTTAACACTTATCTTTTGCTGCATTTTGTAATATTTAATTAGGCTAGTTTCCTTGAAGTGAAATTACTGGGTGAAGAGAGATTAACTCGCATTATACATCACACCAAACTGACTTCCGCTGGCCGGTTAGCTCAGTTGGTTAGAGCATGGTGCTGATAACACTGAAGTCCAGGGTTAGATCCTTGTACAGGTCAGTCACCAAAACAAACAAAACAAAAAACAAACAAAGATTATATGTACCATCTACTAGAATGGAAATGTTTCAGAGAAAGATAATATTTAAGCCTAAAGTCTAAGGCAACATTTTGAGATCTATTCTAAAAATTTATTCATTTTTCTAGGTTATCTCCCTGGTATACAGAAGGTATACAAGTTATTAAACTTCTGTTTGTTTAAAAAGAAAAGGCAGAAAAAATTTAAAAAGTAAAAACCTGAGAATATCAAGTGCTGGGGAGAATATCAATGCTCATACAGTACTGATGAAAATACAAAATGACGTAGCCACTTTGGATGTCAAAACGATCTGGCAGTTTCTCATACAATTAGACATGCATTTACTATAAAAACCCAGCAATCCCACTCCTAAGTATTTACCCAAGAGAAATGAAAACATATGTTCACACAAAAATCTGCACATAAATGTTAATACTGACTTTATTCATAATTGCCCAAAACTGGAAACAACCCAAATGTCCTTCAACAGATGAATGGATAAATAAACTAGTATATCCACATGATAGAACACTACTTAGCTTTTATTACTGATATAAGCAACAGGGGTGAATCTCTAATTTATCATGACAAGCTAAACAAAACAGACTCAAAGGCTACTTACACTATTTCTTTATATGACATCCTGGGGAAAAAAAGGCAAAACAGTGCCAGAAAACAGATCAGTGGTTGCCAAGGGTAGGGGCAGAGATATAAGGGATATAAGGGAATTTTCTGGAGAAATGGAACTATTCTATATCTTGATTGTGGTGGTTGGTTCACAACTGTATGTCAAAACCACTAAAGTGTACATTAAAAAGGATGAATTTAATTATAAATAATTACACCTTGTAGTGGATTGAATTATGTACTCCCAAAACTCACTGGAGCTTGAACTGTGTCCCCTAAGTTTCATGTATTAGAAACTTAGCCCCCACTGTGATTGTTAAAAGGGTTGGAAATGCTATTACAGTAATTGAAAGGTGGAGCCTTGAAGAGGTGATTGGATTGTTGGACAGTGCAGTAGTGAATAGATTAAAAATGGTGGTCAGGGGCATGGTTCTGAATCTGTCTGTCTCTCTCTGTTTTCTCTTCCACTATCTTGCAATCTGAGACCCCTGGGTCATTGCTGCCACCACCAGATGGACTTTAGACTTCCCAGCCTCAAAACTGTAAGCAATAAATGTCATTTATCTTTATAAATCACCCCGTTTCAAGTATTTTGTTATAAGCAACAGAAACGGACTAATACATACCTTAACAAACCTGGAGGAAAAAAATTATACCACTTTTCTCTCCCACTAGTTGTACAAGGGTACCAGCATTCAGTTTTACTTTATTTTATTTTTTGGCAGCTGACCAGCCCAGGGATTGAACCCCAGACCTTGGTGTTATCAGCACCACACTATAATCACCTGAGCTACCAGCCCCAGTATTGATTTTACCAATTAAAAAATTTTTTAGTTTTCCTCCAAATCATAATTCCTATATTTATAAAATAATGTACTTATAGAATAACTGATATAATTTACATAATAATTACACTTGAGGTTTTTAAAGAATTTACTATGAACACTATTCTAAGATATAACAAGAAACTTAAACATAATTCCCCAAACTTTCCTGCAATGGAACTAGACACTGTGAAGAAATAAAAAGGAATGTACACAAAAACACTCAGGGTATATTTAAATAGAGAACAGAGATTCAAAAGGATATATGAGATCTTTTCATTTTGTCCCACAACAAAAGTTCTTACCATCACCGTGTAATCAACTTGTGGTGCCATTTCAGCATTAGTTCCACCTTTCAAACGAAGTTCTGATGGAGAAGCAGCAAAGAGAACACAGGGCATTGAGACCTGCATCAAGAGGCACACACTCCTAAGGAGAAGGCAGAACAGGCTGAGCTGTGTTTTCTTTTTAAAGTCTCAACAAAACTACATTATTAGTCATCACTATTAGGTGAAGCACAGACAACTGAGATGGTGGTAGGTTTATCCCCTTAAGTTTAAAGTTAAACACTTGAGTATGGGCCGGCCTGTGGCTCACTGGCTGAGCGTGGTGCTGACAACACCAAGTCAAGGGTTAAGATCCCCTTACCGGTCATCTTTATATAAAAAATAAAAAAACAAAAAATAAACACTTGAGTATCAGAATGGTAAAATCATGAATCTTAAGGAACAACAGTATTTCACAGTAGAAAAAACTGGCTTTAAATGATAAGGTTGGGTTGAATCCAAGACTGAAGACGTGTCAGCCTGTGTAAGTTCTGACATTTTTCTTTGTGTTACAAAGAAGTATAATTGAAAATAAAAACTTTTTCAAATGTTTTTATAAAAGAATTCACAAAAGTAGCAGTTTATGAAAATGTATTCAAAAAAGTCAAGGTCTAGAAATATTCAATTGATTATATCTGAGTTGCCACCATGCACAAGGCACTGTTCCATGTATCAAGTTAAGATATAGTTCCTACCATTGTGGACCTCATGATATAATTGGATAATATTTTACAAAGACTGAAAGCTGAGTATTTCACACAGAAAAGTTTTAGGGAAATAATCCTTGCTTTACTTGCCTCTTTTACTTGCCTTATAGTCAAACAATGCAATAAATCACAAGAAATAGTTATAGAACATGAAAAATTTTATAAAATAAAACATTTGGTCAGATTTTCTAAGTGAGCTGTTATCTCCCTTCTTCTCCGAAGTTAAAGGAAAGCAATCATATTCATAAGTTGATTGTACTTTGAAAGGAAATTCAACATAGCCTGTACATACCAAAAAATAGACCTTTACTTAACTTCCTTACCACAACAATGCATACGTACTGAACTGGAAAGTATCACCAACAAATGAATTTCACTAATTCAATAAATATTTATTGGCAATGTAATATGCTTAGCATTGTAAGGGAAAACATATGCAATATAATCCCTGTTCTCAAGGAGGTGAACATAGGAGAAAATGAAAAATACTTGGAAATGTTTAGCTTACTACAGACTATAGGCTTCTAACTACTGAATTTATTGTTTATTTCCTCTGAATAACTCAAGACATAAGGTGTTTCTTTTCTCCCCAATAAAATCAGATCCCAAGAATAGTAAAGAAAACTTTAATTTTAGGAGTCAGGAATTGCAACAATAAAGGTAGACTGAGAACCACATGGTACTGTAATCACAATTAGTGCTAAAAATGAGTAAGTGTGATAAAAAGTGAATAGGTAAAATGTGTTTTCTTGCTAGGATTCTGCTTGTTTTAATCTCCTGAATGGACCTAGATTATTGACTTTAAACTCACATTCCACACATTCTAGTGGAGTAAGAGTCAGAGTCCTCTCTCCGAAGTTAAAGGAAAGCAATCATATTCATAAGTTGATTGTACTTTGAAAGGAAATTCAACATAGCCTGTACATACCAAAAAATAGACCTTTACTTAACTTCCTTACCACAACAATGCATACGTACTGAACTGGAAAGTATCACCAACAAATGAATTTCATTAATTCAATAAATATTTATTGGCAATGTAATATGCTTAGCATTGTAAGGGAAAACATATGCAATATAATCCCTGTTCTCAAGGAGGTGAACATAGGAGAAAATGAAAAATACTTGGAAATGTTTAGCTTACTACAGACTATAGGCTTGTAACTACTGAATTTATTGTTTATTTCCTCTGAATAACTCAAGACATAAGGTGTTTCTTTTCTCCCCAATAAAATCAGATCCCAAGAATAGTAAAGAAAACTTTAATTTTAGGAGTCAGGAATTGCAACAATAAAGGTAGACTGAGAACCACATGGTACTGTAATCACAATTAGTGCTAAAAATGAGTAAGTGTGATAAAAAGTGAATAGGTNCAATAAATATTTATTGGCAATGTAATATGCTTAGCATTGTAAGGGAAAACATATGCAATATAATCCCTGTTCTCAAGGAGGTGAACATAGGAGAAAATGAAAAATACTTGGAAATGTTTAGCTTACTACAGACTATAGGCTTCTAACTACTGAATTTATTGTTTATTTCCTCTGAATAACTCAAGATATAAGGTGTTTCTTTTCTCCCCAATAAAATCAGATCCCAAAAATAGTAAAGAAAACTTTAATTTTTAGGAGTCAGGAATTGCAACAATAAAGGTAGACTGAGAACCACATGGTACTGTAATCACAATTAGTGCTAAAAATGAGTAAGTGTGATAAAAAGTGAATAGGTAAAATGTGTTTTCTTGCTAGGATTCTGCTTGTTTTAATCTCCTGAATGGACCTAGATTATTGACTTTAAACTCACATTCCACACATTCTAGTGGAGTAAGAGTCAGAGTCCTCAATTCTAATTCTAGTTCTGACCCTGACCCTGTGACCTTAGGTAAATCACTTAACACCAGGGGATCTTGACTTCATTCACAAACTGGAGGAAGGGCTGGCCAGTTAGCTCACTTGGTAGAGCGTGGTGCTGATAACACCAAGTTGAAGGGTTCAGATCCCCATACTGGCCAGCTGCCAAAAAAAAAAAACTGGAGGAAGAGATGGAATACATGTTACCTCTTGCAGTTTCAAAATTCTACAATTCTATTTTAGTTAACACTTAGACCATTGGTTAACTGTGACTTTTTTCCCCTTTTTGTACAGGAGAATGCCTGAAATAATATGCTGACTATAAAGTTAACTCAAAATTCTTTATTTCCCTCAGAAAAATTCTCACTTAACAAACCTCATGCTAGGCCTAGCAGCAGGTCCTTTTTCATAGAGGTCTATTTACATCATAATTCAAATCTCAATTACTACTAAACATTTTCTTAAAGTAAAAAATCATAATTAGAACACTCACTTCTGAAGGAAACTGGCATCAGGTTTACATACCATTTCTTTTCTTTTCTTTTCTACAAATCAACCATTTCTTACTTTATCAAATTTCCTAGTAAATGGACAGGATTTTGGTAAAAGGATGCTGTTCACAATAGCAATCAGCCAAATAGCTCAAAAAAGCAATACAAAAATTAATTGCTCTGTTTTCTCAATAAAAGAAGAAATATTTAGAAAATGATAATGGCTCAATTTAATTATTAAATATCCATTGCCCGGTGGGGAAAAAAATCAGGATTACATCTAAAAACATCTAGAGTTGCACAAGTATCTATGAAAAGATAGCAAAAATACCTAGACTAAAAATAGTAGAATATGGTTCCTAATTAGCTATAAGCCAAGAACTAAATTTGCTACAATGCAAAGACTACAGAACATGAAAACAAGTCAGTTTCAGATATTCAATTTCTATATAATGAAAAGTAAAGAAGCAAATGTAGTGCACCATACTACACATATGAGAAAATTTCAGAAAGTAATAGCTACAATTAATAAACAATTAGATACCCACAACTTTACATACATTGACTCTAACCCTAAAAGGTAGGTGTTTCACCTCCATTTTAAAAATGGGAAAACTGAAGCTCAAAGAAGTTGAGCAACTTGCCAAGTAAAGTGGTAGAATCTTGATTTGAATACAGGTCTAACTCTAAAACCCATATTTAAATGAAATGTAAGTGATACATACCCTGCAGTCTTGGTATCTGCTGTGTGGATTCCACCTTTGATCTTTTCTGGTATAAAGGTTATTTCTGTTGAGCCAATTTCTGCCCCCTCCAGTTGTCCATCACACAAATCTCGAACCATTTCCAGTCCAGATAAATGTTGAGGCCTTCAGGTCATAATACTGCATCAAAATGTGTGCATTCAGACTGCCTATATCCCCACATTTTATGACACATTTTTAAAACTGAAATGGCAAGAACACAGCAAAATCTAACCACAGTAAGAGCCACATCTTCAGTGTCAGAACTTCCTTTTGGGTTTTCATGCACCAAGACCACCTGCTATTAGGCATCATTTTAAGACCAGTCATTTTGGCTGTAAATACATACACTGATTTATTGTTCCAAGTAAGAAGTGTGCAAAAGAGGAAAACGAATAAAACTACCTATGAGCTACCAGTCTCAACTTGTACTTCATTGAGTAATCTCTGGTACCTATTATGGGCTAGGGCTGGCCAGTTAGCTCAGTTGGTTAAAGCAAGCACGGTGCTTTAACATCAAGGTCAAGGATTCAGATTCCTTTACACACCAGCCACCAAAAAAAAAATAAAAAGTAATATTATGGGCTGAACTGTGTTCCCCCAAAATTCATATGCTGAAGTCTTAACCCTCAGCATTTCAGAATGTATTTGGAGACAGGGTATAATGAGGCAGTTATGGTGGGCCTTAATACAATCTGACTGGTGTCCCCATAAAGAGGAGATTAGGAGAGACACCAAGGGCACAGTGCACAGAGGGACCACTATGTGAAGAGGCAAGAAGAGAGGCCTGGAACAGATTCTTAGGGCCCTCAGAGGAAACCAATTCTGCCAATATCTTGATCTTGGACTTGTAGGCTCCAGAACTATTAGAAAATTAATTTCTGTTGTTTAAGTCACCCCGTGTGTGGTATTTTATTATGGCAGACCTAGACAGTACATAACACAGCCTTAAAGAATTGAATCCCCTATTGGTGAACTAGACTGCTGCAAACAACTACTATGACAAAGGGAATTACGTTTACATATATCAACTGCCTTTTAATAATTTCAAAACTGATTGTGAATAAAATTAAAAGCTAAGGGCTGGCCGGTTAACTCAGTTGATTAGAGCACAGCCTTATAACACTAAGGTTTGGATCCCCCTACCCTCCAGCCGCCATAAAAAAACAAAAACAAAAACAAACAAATAAACCCCAAAACAAACAAAAATAAAAGCTGAGACAGCTGAACCATTAACATGGAATATACACCCAGGAGGAATATTTTATCAGAATCGTGAATATATAGTACCCCTGATTTGATCATCACACATTGTATACATGTATTTAAATATCTCTGTACCCCATAAATACGTACAATCAATACGTTTAAATCAAAAAATACATAAATCCCTTGAAAAAAGTAAACTAAAAAAATAATAAAATAAAATGAAATATATACAGAATATGTACAAAGA